GGGGTATAGGCCAGAGGCACAGGAGGGTGAGAGGATTCACCAGAAACACAGCAGGGAGCAGAACAGGCAGATGGACTAAAAGCACTGCTGAGGGGAGCAGCGGGTAAGACAGAAGAGGTCTACCGTGCCATGTGGGAATCTCCCTGGCCAGCCAGGAATCAAACCCACACTGCAGAGTTTGCAGACAGTTTCACAGTGCTGCACTCAACCCGCTACACCACCGGGAAGGCCCTAAATAAATAAATCTTTAAGAAAAAAGAAAAGGGAAGGAGATCTTAGAGGTATTAATGGAGGCTATTATGGGGGAGGGAGGAGGAGCCACTTTTATCCTGTTCCCCCAACTTGAACTCACAGGAACCTCATGACTGCTGCAAAGGTAGAGTAGTCAGAAGACCCTCTCAATTGAGAGAAACCACAGGCCTGGAAATGCAGGTAGCCAACAAGGTCTTTGTTTCATATGCAGAGTTCTTATAAACAAGAAAGAAAAATGCAAGGAAGAGGCATTACAGGAATTAATTAAAACCAAGTGGCCACCCCAAGAGGTTCTATTTTTTTTTTTAACTTTTTTTTAAAGATTTATTTAATTTTTTTAAGATTTATTTATTTATTTGTTTGTTTATGAAATATTTATTTATACAAGCACTGGGTACAGTCAGAAATGCGGAGGGTGAGAGAATTCACCAGAGCCAGAGCGGGGAAGAGAACAGGCAGACTGAAGAAGTACACTGCTGAGGGGAGCAGCGGGCGGCAGGAGCAGTCTGCGCGCCATGCGGGACCCTCCTCCGGTGGCTGGGAGCAGCCTGGGATCAAACCGGCACTGCAGAGGCTGTGGGTAGCTTCCCAACCCAGCGCTCAACCGCTGCGCCACCAGGGAGGCCCTAAAGATTTATTTATTTATGCATACAGGAACTGGGGTACAGGCCAGAGGTGGGGTGGGGGGTGAGAGGATTCACCAGAGACAGAGAGGGGAACAGAACAGACAGATTGACTGAAATACACTGCTGAGGGCAGCAGTGGGCAAGGCAGGAGAGGTCTGCTGCGCCATGTGGGTAGCTCCCTGGCGGGGGATCGAACTCCTGCTGTGCTGCATTGGCTGCCTGTAGCTTCATAGGTTGCATCTTAACCCCTTGCGCCACCGAGGAGGCCCAAGAGGTTCTATTTTTGACCCCATTAATGAGTCATTTGTTTGTTTATGTCCTCTCATGCCTTCCCCTTCCCCAAAGCCCATGTTTAACTGAGTTACAAGTATTTATATTTGCTTTTGCTCTCAAGCCCTAGTTTGGAAGTTTAAAAATACATTCCCAGTGAACTGATATATAGATGGTTAGGCTTGTTTTCTTTTTAATGAATATATAAATAATAATAAATCTCATAATTAACTCCATATGATGAATTTGCATAAAACTATATCAAGGTTCTTTGGTCACGTCCTGACACTAATTATCTGATCTTCTCTCATTTTTACTTCTCTGTTTGGTTTCTTTGTTGTTTTAGCCCAGGATTTCTCAGCCTTGACAGTGTTGACATTGGGGCTGGCTTGTCCTCTGTGAGAAGCCCCTCCTGTCCCTGTAGGATATTCATTTAAGCAGCGCCCCTGATTTCCACCTACTTAATGCCATTAGCAGAGCTGCACTGCCACAGTGCCCAACTCATGACAACCAAAAATGCCTCTGGACATTGCCAAGTATCCCCTGGGGCAGAATTAGCCCTAGCTTAAAACCCCTGGTTTTGATTCTAAACTCCAAATGGGAGGTAGGGGGTGGCCCAGGAGAATGCAGGGGCATCTCTGATCTGAATTCTTTTTGGCGATTTGTCCTACTACTGCAGCTAGTGAGGTCTTCCCCATGCTTACAGCTCTTCCCCACGCTTACAACCCTTACAGCCAGCTTTGCCTGGGAGCAAAGACACATTTCAGATATAGTTCTTGCCACCCATCCTGGACACAGCCTCTCTTCAGCACAGGAAAATGTCCTGTTCTTTCTCGTGTCACTTTCATCTGTTCACAATCTCATCCCAAGTTATTTGCCTCCTTGGGTCTCCCAGACCTGCTCTTCAGAAGCCAAACCCAGGGGCTGGCAGCCAAATCTGGGACAATACAGGCTCTGTGCTGCCCACCTACAAGTAGGAACCTGCATCTGCTCAAGAACCACTCGCTCATTCCTGCCTCAGGGCCTTTGTGCATGCTATTTATGTCCCAGGGAAACTTTCCTCCCAAACCCCAGCCAGGCTATTTCCCCCATGCCATTTATTTCCCAGCTTAAGTGTCATCCAGAAATCAAAATCCAAACCTGCCACCCAAACCCATCACCTTGTATCAGTTCATTGAGGTTTTTATTAAATGTTTGTTGCCCCTCAAACATTTAATAGTGGTAGAGACATTTAGGACTCCTATGCCTATTTACCAAGCGTCCCCAGCTCCCAGAAATGTCTGGTGCACAGAAGCCCAATAAATATTAGTTTGAATTTATAAATGTATAAAATCATTGAGAGTCAATATTTTTTCAGATTTTGTGGCAACCAAATATTCATCATCCTCTCAATACATTTATTGAGCACTTACTGTGCAGCAAGCACAGTTTCAGGGGCTGGAAAGAAGGTGGTGAACAAGACAAATAGCACAGAATTCACTTTCTGCTAGGAAAGATGAATAAGAAACAATACATTTTCAAAATTGTATGTATTTTTTAAAAATATATTTATGCATACAAAAACTGGGGTGCAGGCCAGAGGTGTGGGGGGTAACAGGATTCACCAGAGACAGAGTGGGGAACAGAACAGGCAGATCGACTGAAATACACAGCTGAGGGGAGCAGCAGGTGAGTCAGGAGAGGTCTGCTGTGCCATGTGGGCAGCTCTCTGGCTGGGGATCGAACTCATGCTGCAGTGGCTGCCTATAGCTTCATAGGTTGCATCTTAATGCCTTGTACCACAGGGAGGCCCTGATTGTATTTTGGAGATGAAAAGTACTATGGAAGAAAAGTAGAACATGGTGGGGGCTCAGGGCTACCAATGTCAACCTGAACACTTCCCTGTGAGGGAAGGAACTGTGTAGAAATCTGGGGATCCAGTCAGAGGGAATAACCTCTGTAAAGTGCCTGCATGTTTGAGGTTAAAATCACCAGAGCAAGACTCAAAGGGTTGATTCCTTCCATTTTAGATTTAAGCTCAGAAAGATCAAACTTCTTTTCTAATGTCACACAGCAAAACCTGTGAAAAAGAATCTGAGTCTACCTCAATTAGCATCAATTTGTAGCTCCATTAGAAATAGGACGTTAGGACCTCCCCCCGTGGCTCAGCGGTTGAGCACTGGGTTGCGAAGCTGCCAGCAGCCTCTGCAGCGCCTGAGGATCCCACATGGCGCGCAGACCTCTCCTGCCACTGGCTGCTCCCCTCAGCAGTGTATTTCCTCAGTCTGCCTACTCTGCTCTTCCCTCTGGCTCTAGTGAACTCTCTCATCCTCCCGCACTTCTGACTGTACCTAGTGCTTGTATAAATAAATAAATCTTAAAAAAAAAAAAAAGGCATGAACTTAGAAAATAAAAAAAAATAGGAAGTTATTCTCTTCCTGGTTCACAGATAATACCTGGGTGGGGTCATTTGGGGCTAGAAGGTCTTAACAGAACTAATGACTGTCCCACACTATTCAGGTGCCAGTTGGGAAATCTAGGAGACCATAGACTAATACAGGCACACTGAGGAATCCGGAGGTAAATGCTGACATTCACATATTCATTCAACAAATACTGAGTGCCCACTAAGTGCCAGGTGCTAAGTATTCCCTTCATAGCTGCACAACCTTGTAATTGGGGATTTCTCAGATTCCCCCTTTATAGGCAAGTGCAGGGTATGAAGAACACACAGCCAGGGAACAGTAGAGTTAGAATTTTTTTTTTTTTTTAAAGATTTATTTATTTATTTATTTATTTATTTATACAAGTACTGGGTATAGTCAGAAGCGCGGGAGGGTGAGAGAATTCACCAGAGCCAGAGCGGGGGGCAGAGCAGGCAGAAGGACCGAGGTACACTGCTGAGGGGAGCAGTGGGCGGCAGGAGAGGTCTGCGCGCCATGTGGGACCCTCGCCGGTGGCCGGGGAGCAGCCGGGGATCGAACCGGCGCTGCAGAGGCTGTGGGCAACTTCGCAACCCAGCGCTCAACCACTGCGCCACCGGGGAGGCCCTAGAGTTAGAATTTAAATCCAAGTTTTGGGCTACAGTATCTGTGCTCTTGAATGCTGAGTGTTCTATACTTCTCCGAGGTAAGTGCTGCCTTGGGCCTAATCCAGCATTTTCAGGATGCACTGGAAAATACATCCTTCAATTTAGACCTGGAAAACAGCACAAACACTATCTTTCTGGGAAAACAAACAAAAAAATTGAAGAAGTTCAGGGAAGCCAGGGAAAGTGTTCTGGAAGGGAGACCAAGGGCTCTGCCTAGACATGGGGAGAGAAACTTTCCAAGAGAAGGGGACATTAGAGCTGGGGTTTTGAAGAATGTGTAAGAGCTTGCCAGAGAGAAACATAATGAGTTTACCTTTATTCATAAATTCACTCATTCAAACCTCCTTGTTTTCCCTTTGTGTCATCATCATAGTGGATGGTGACAGAACCTCCAAAAAGCCCCTAGTATTGGGAAGACAGTCAGACAAAGACACTCCCTTGAAGTCATGACTGGGCCAAAGAGGATGACAGGGCTAGATGTACCAAACAGGGAACCAGGACTCTCTCTGAAGTATTAGAGAGGGCTTTCCATTTAGATCATTGAGATGGGTTTTAGAAGAGGGATAGGAGTTTGCCAAGAAAGATTGTTTTGTTTGAGATGTGTTGGGCCTGTGGAGTTAATGATGAACATACAGCCATGCTCAGGTCAGCAGATATTTAAAAATAGTCAAGAACAGGTGACAATTGGATTAAAATTCCAGAAGCTTAGAGCTTCCTTGAGAAGCTGGTAAAAAGAGAAGCAAGAATCCCAGCACTTCTTAAATGATAAAATGGGAGTTTTCTGCCTTGCTGGGGGAGGCTCTTTAGTCATATCTTAAGCAGGAGGAGGCCCAGGCTGCATAAGGGGTTTCTGGACACACCCAGTCTTGGGAAATTGAGTTGGCATCTCCTTACCTCCCTTTTTCTCTGTAAATATTTAATCCTCAAGCAGGGCCTGAGCAACTGTCAAAACCAACAATGGGCAGGGGAAGGCTGAAAAAGATGGGGAACACAGAATCAGTGGGGGTGAATTTAAATATTATACCAATTTGAGCAACTGGGAGGCTGCAACCAGGTGCTGTTGTCTATACATAGTCCCCCAAAACCCTTGGTTCCCTCCAGGATCTTCAGTGGGTGTTATTCTCTGCAGGAGCTGCCCAGGGGTCTCCCCTAGCTGACCAGCATGAGGTGTTCCAGGTTCCGGAAGGCCGAGGTGGGCCTGTTTCTGGCCCTGGGCAGCGCTACCTTCCTCCTCCTCATCTTCATTCTGCACATGGCACCACCCACCTGCCAGGTCCCAAAGGAGCCGCTGGGCACCCCCACACCTCTGACCTGGCAGGCTGTGCCCACCCACCCACCACCTGTCCCCTGCCAGGCCAATGGCTCAGTGACTGCTCTGCCTGACTTTGCCAAACAGCCACAGCACGTGCGCAACTTCCTGCTGTACAGACATTGCCGTGACTTCCAGCTGCTGCAGGACGCTCCACCGGACAAGTGCGCTCAGCCGGTGTTCCTGCTGCTGGCAATCAAGTCCTCACCCCAAAATTATGAGCAGCGGGAGCTGGTGCGGCGCACTTGGGGCCAAGAGCGAGCTGTGCGGGGCCTCCAGCTGCGCCGCCTCTTCCTGGTGGGCACTGACCCCAACCCACTGGAGGCCCTCAAGGTCAACCGACTGCTGGCGATGGAGGCGCAGGCACACGGGGACATCTTGCAGTGGGACTTCCACGACTCCTTCTTCAACCTCACTCTCAAGCAGGTGGGCCAGGGATCACCTAATTGGGGCGCCTGCCCTTCCTGCCCAAATTGCCACCACCTCCTCTGAGGGGCCCAGGGGAAGACTTCATGGATGCCTCCCTAAGCCCCACACTATCTTCCAGGTCCTGGAAGCCTCCTTCCCTAAGGCAGGCAGGGAGGTAGGGCAGGGTGGCAGAGGTTGCAGGCAGCATTCTGAATCCTGTGAGGCTTACATGAGAAGATGTTCATAAGGAGAGGGAGGGAACACATTTTTTTGTTCTGGTTATGTCTCCTCCAGTTTTGGGGAAGGGGTAGAGAGATTCTGTTCATACACTGAGGAAAAATTAGAGGCCCCAGGAGACACCTGATAGGGGTGGAGCAAGCTAAGTAGAGACCTCCTGTGAAAAGGGGTTCAGTGTGGTTCCTATTCATCCTGAAGAGAGATTCTCTGGTTTTAACTTATCCATTGCTATTGCCAGAGGTGGTGGGGGTGAGAGATTCACCAGAGACAGAGTGGGGAACAGAACAGGCAGATTGACTGAAATACATTGGTTTTTTTGGTTTTTTTAGATTTATTTATTTATTTATTTATTTATTTATTTATTTATTTATTTATTTATTTATACAAGCACTGGGTACAGTCAGAAGTGCGGGAGGGTGAGAGAATTCACCAGAGTCAGAGTGGGAAGCAGAGCAGGCAGACTGACAAAGTACACTACTGAAGGGAGCAGCGGGTGGCAGGAGAGGTCTGCGCGCCATGTGGGACCCTCGGCCGGGGATTGAACTGGCACTGCAGAGGCTGCGGGCAGCTTCACAACCCAGTGCTCAACCGCTGCACCACTGGGGAGGCCCTGAAATACATTGTTGAGGGTTGCAGCAGGTGAATCAGGAGAGGTCTGCTGCGCCATGTGGGTAGCTCCCTGGCCGGGAATCAAACTCGTGCTGCAGTGGCTGCAGACAGCTTCATAGGTTGCGTCTCAACCCCTTGCACCACCAGGGAACCAGTGCTATTTTTCTGTTGTATGACCTTGTTCAAGGCACTTTCTTCTCATTATGAACCTCTGCTTCCTCATCTGCAAATGAGGTTGAAGACACACCTGTCTCCTAAGGTTGCCTTAGGGATTCAAGATAGGTGGGTGCTAAGCACTGTGCCTGGTGTGCAGCAAAGGTTATTATGGAAAAAGACCAGAACCTTTCAACATGCTTTAGTCTTAGAGCAAAAAACACAAAAGTGAACATCAGTTTGACACACATGATTCTTGTGGCTGTGAAGCACTGGTCCCATGCTGGGTACTGGGGAGATGGCACTAGTAGGAGAAACAGATCCCCTACCCTGGTGTATGTGTTGAGGGGGGCAGCGTAGATGTTAAATAGTAATTATGTAGCACCAAGTCTCAACTAACAGAATCAAAGGAGTAACAATAAATTGTCTAAGTTACCCAATTTGCAGTTACATCCCAGATTCTGCTGGAGGCATGTCCCCTTTGAGTTCTGTTTAGAAAGTTGGAAACAGGTGGAGAAGGGCAGCTGGCTGCTGAGGCTGGCTGGCAGGCTGGGAACTGAGGCTCAGCTCATCTGGCTGGAGGACACATCCTTGCTGGGACTTCCTGGGCTGGGTTAACCAACAGGGACCATGGCCAATGGCCCCAGCCCTCAAGCCCTTATGCCTGTTCACCCCACCAACAGGTCCTGTTCCTACAGTGGCAGGCAACTCGGTGCACTCAAGCCAGCTTCTTTCTCAATGGGGATGACGACGTTTTTGCACACACAGACAACATGGTCTCCTACCTGCAGGGCCAAGACCCTGACCACCACCTCTTTGTGGGGCACCTGATCCACAATGTGGGCCCCATCCGGAATCCCTGGAGCAAGTATTATGTGCCGAAGATTGTGACACCAGAAGAACACTACCCGTCGTATTGTGGGGGGGGTGGCTTTCTGCTGTCCCACTTCACTGCCGCTGCCCTATACCGAGCCTCTGGTGCCCTGGACCTCTTCCCTATTGATGATGTCTTCCTGGGCATGTGCCTACAACAGGAGGGCCTGAAGCCTGCCTCCCACAGCGGCATCCTCACGGCAGGTGTGCAAGTGCCCTCAGAACACCTGTCTTCCTTTGACCCCTGCATCTACCAAAACCTGCTGCTGGTACACCGCTTCTTGCCCTACGAGATGCTGCTCATGTGGGATGCACTGAGCCAGTCTGGCCTGACCTGTGGCAAGCTGACACAGATCTATTGAGGTGGAATCAGGGACCCCTGCCCCTAGGCTGCTGTCTCCACCTCCATAAGAAAGGCAGCATCTTGGGCCTCCCTGGTGGCACAGGTGGTTGAGGGCCGCACTGTGAAGCTGTCCGCAGCCTCTGCAGTGCGGGTTCAATCCCTGCCGGCCGGCAAGAATCCAGCATCTTCCTCCCAGGAAACAGACATTTCCCTCCTAAGTGGGCAGGACACAGGACAGTGCCAGGGAGAGTTTGGTGCATGAATTGTCTGGCTGGCAAACTCCTACACATCCTTCAAAACTTACCAGGTACTACTCAGACCAAGGTCCAGCATATTCCCCAGCATCTTGTCAGCTAGAGTGACCCCAGAAAATGTCTGGAGCATTTCAGAAGCACTTCTGTAAGGGTTTCAGTTGCTACTGCATTGAGGTCATTTGAACTGAGGTGCCACTTCCCAGCCCTGACCTTGATCACGAGCTGGACCCTAAGCAGTGGCCATCCCCTTCTTGGTAATGAACCTATGGTAGTTTTATGGTGAATGGTTCAAGGCCAATTGGGAAGTCCTGGGTCCACATGAAGATGAAGTGAGACACATTTTTCAGGCCCTGAAATAGGGATTCTATTCTTGACCCCTCAGATGGTGGGAGGGAACAGACACTGTGGACTGGGACCGCCCCCGCTCCCTGCTTGTGGTACTAAGTGTCCTATGGTGCAAGTGTTGGGCAGGGGAGGCCTGGACAGCCACCTGTTTGGGCTGTGGGATCTCAATATCTGGCGACACTGGAAGGGCACAGACCTCATACCTGTGCTCCCTAAGAATACAAAGAACAGCATTGGGATTCACTGGACTCAAGGCCAGCACACACACTATGCAACCTAGAGAAGGGGGAGATTCGGGTTCTTAGGTGACTCAGATCCCTGATCCAGGAATGGTCCCCACACTCTGTGTGTGTCAGCATCAGGAGCTTCAAGCAAACCATTGACTCCCTGCCCCACTAGCCATGGGCAGGTGTCGGACTTGGGTTTCACAGGCATTGGGTGGTGTGGTACCTCACATGGCAGAGTGAGGACTGGCATCCTCAGAAAATAAAACATTTCATGAACACCTAGAGGTTGTTTTTTTAAGTGATTTGCAAGATTTAACTCAAACCAATCTACATACCTAAGTCTCATTTTCAGTAGAAAATACACACCAGTGAAAACAGCATACGGATGAGGTAAGCCTGCAGGGGTTTCTATCAGGCAAATCTGATATCTGATCCCCTCTCACCACTGCTCACACACCCTCCATGACTTCTGATTGCCCTCAACTCATCTTCCCCAAGACTAGGTCTCACTGCCAGCTTTATGGCAGACTTAGCAAAGAGAAACACACCTGATGGGACTGTCCTTGGTCAGGTGGGACACTGAGTTCACCTTGGCCTTCCACTTCCAGCAAGTTGGCTGAAACCTGCCCCAGCCACTACCAGGCTTACCTCCTTCCCCTGGCACTGCAACTCTACTATCTTCTGTCCCACCTCCTCTCCTTGAGTATTTATTGTGCTCCTATTGGGTGCTACACGCCTCACCCTGTATTCTTCCTCCCAGCCCCACAGAAGGGTCAGCGAGTGCATTCAAATAGGAAATCCTCAGAAGTGGTAAGAGATTTAAGGAGAATTAAAATGGACAGGGCACAGACTGAAGGGGATGAGCATGAGCCGGGAGGACAGGGTACCAGGACTGCAGAGATGACATTGGAGCTGAGGCCACGGCCTTGAGGGAAAGGAGAAGAGCACTTAAATAGTAAGCACAGCATGTGCAAAGGTCCTGAGGTGGAAAGAGCTGGGAGCATTTGAGCCACAAAAGGGAGACAGGACTGGAGCTGAGTAAGTAAAGAAGATAGAAAAGGAGGGGGTACAGGTCTCAGGGGTTAGCCACAAGGGGCTTTATGGGTTGAAGTAAGGGGAAAGGGTGCATTTTGTACCACTGAAGGATGGAAGTGACATGATTGATTTCGAAGTTTTAAGAAGCCTGGTGGCTACAGTAGGAACTGTTGGAAGGGGAGGTGACAGCATCCAGGTCTGGAGGATGTGGGGACTGTATCACATATCTCTGTGTTTCCCCATTGCCCTGGGAGGGAGTCCTTCTCTCCCACTCTACCGAAGCATGTCCCATAAAACTGAATGACAAAACTTGATGTCCACTCACTCAAAATATGGCCTTTGGCAATGGGATCTTTGCAGATGAATTAAGGTAAGGATGGAGATAAAACCACTCTAGGGGCCTCCCTGGTGGCACAAGGGATTAAGTCTCAGCACCATGAAGTGATTGGCAGCCTCTGCAGCATGAGTTCAACCCCTAGCCAGGGAGATGACACACATGGCACAGCAGACCTCTCCAGTCTCACCCACTGCTCCTTTCAGCAGTGTTTTTTCAGTCAATCTTCCTTTTCTGCTCCCCACTCTGTCTCTGGAGAATCCTCTCACACTCCCACACCTCTGGCCTACACCCCAGCTCTTGTATGCATAAGTAAAATAAATCTTTAAAAAATATTAAGAGAAAACCCACCCTGGATTAGGATAGGCTCTAAATCCATTGAGAGGAACTTTATAAAAGACACAGTGAGCACACAGAGAGATGTGGAATAGAAGGTGATGTGAAGATGGAGCTAAGGATTGCCAACAGTCACCAAAAACTTGGAGAAGGGCCTGGGACAGATTCTCCCTTAGAGTCTTTCAAAAAGAACCAAACTTGGGCCTCCCTGGTGGCGCAAGGGGTTAAGACAAAGCACTATGAAGCTATCCACAGCTACTGTTCGATCCCGGCCAGGGAGGTGAGCCACATGGCGCAGCAGACCTCTCCTGTCTCACCTGCTGCTCCCCTCAGCAGTGTATTTCAGTAGATCGTCTGTTCTGTTCCCCACTCTGTCTCTGGTGAATCTTCTCAACCCCTGCACCTCTGGCCAGTTCTTGTATGCATAAACAAATAAATCTTAAAAAAAAAAAGAACCAACCTTGTGGACTAACTCTGGTCTCTAGAACTGTGAGGTGAAGGTATAAATTTAGGTTATTTTGTGCCCTCCTCCCTCCCCCTACACCCAGTTTGTGGTAATTTGTTGCTACAACTTTAGGAAACAAATGCACCTGGGAACAGATCACACAGACAGATGATTGATCATTTTTACCAGGGAGTCACATAGAATCCCTATCTCAGGATAAACAGAGGATACACGTGAAAAGAATAGTCAGAATTGGATCAATGAAAGTCCACGCATTCAGATATCCATGTGTGCCTCCACACATGAATTATTACGTAGACATTAATTGACATTAGAGCGCCAAATAGGTCTTCACAGAGACTTGGATTCAAATCCTTGGTCATTTCCTACCTGAACATCTTGGGAGGCCATCTCCTGAGTTTCCCACACTGTCTTGTGAGGACTCCACTTGTTATCAAGCTCCTAGATGGGTTGGTGGTTCCATGGCCGCCAGGGGACAATCCCACAGGAGGGCTGACCCAGAGCCCTCCCTTTTTCTGTACAAACTGCAGACAGCTGCTTCAGATTCTGCAGGACCTTTATTCTTTTACTATTGAGGAATGATCACAAATTCAGGGAGGGTGGTGCCTGGGACTCCTCTGAGATGAGGACATTTGGATCTTGGGATCTAAGATCTAAAAACCAAGGATCCTTCAAGCTGGCATTGGGGTACAATTTTTCCCCAGTTGGCCCCACAGAGGGCAGGCAGGTGGCATGGAGGGAGGTAATGAGCAATGTCCCTCCAGACATCTGGCTTTATGGTGCTGTGTGGCCTCAGGAGCCTGCCAGGCCAGTCCCCTCTGGGTCTCAGGTTCCCCAAAGCCATGCACCACATGGATTCAGTGAGGACAGAGGGACAGTAGCTTCTGCCGGGTACAGCCATGGAGGCAGCATTGGTGGGCAGGGTTGCTGATAACTACCTGCCGGCGCCTGCGACCATGACGTGAGGCCCTGGGCAGGGGCTGTGGGGCAGGAGCCAGTGCGGGTTCTCTATCAGCTGCCAGTCCATGGAGGAGATGTTGTCCTTCCAGCCACTGCAGTAGCTCACCTGGGAACAGAGCAGAATTCAGTGTGGGCAGGGGACCCCTCCATGCTGTGTGCACGTACCTGCACATTTACATTCCATCAATGAGGTACCAAACACAGTCATCACACATACAAATGGAAAGTAGATGTTTATTAAGTGCCTATTGTATATAGGCATTCATTTATGCACTTCCAGTGCATACACTCACAACTCATGCCCACATTCAAGTCCCCAGGAGCCACCAACCACACCAACACACAGATACTACACAACTCATATACACATGCACATGCATGTGATCTGATACATACATGTGCACATGTGTCTGGGCCATGGGCACACACCATCACACACAAGCCCTCAGGTGAACACACACAGTCACATACCCCCAGTCAGTCCCTACTACCATGTGCACACAAATGCACCATGCAGGACTCACAAGCGTGTGACATACATGCACACACACGTGTTTTATTGCCTCTGTCCCTGGGTCAGGACTAGGGAGAGAAAGAAGTACTGGCCTCAGGCGCACAATTAAGGAGGCACCCAAACAATTCAACATTTAAGATCAATCATTTTAATGCAATATTTCAAATAATCAAACTTCATGCAAAAATGCATGAAGATCAAAGCACTGAAAGTATAAATAGAAACAGGATCTGATCATGCACATGGAAAATTCTGCCTCTGTTGCCTCTTACTGACTCTGGCCAAGCAGGGGCTGCATCCTCCGCTGTCTTAGACAACACTCAGTCAGCAGAGGGACCTAGGGAACTTGCGTGCAAAGCCTTCTGCCCACACCCACGTGCACCTGCAGCTGCCACAGCCCAGAATGCAGTCCTGCAGGGACCCCCTCACTTCACTTTACTCACGGTCACCACCAGCCACAGGCCGCCTATCCTCAGAGGACCAGCGCGGGCCACCACATAATCGCACCAGAGCACGCACGAAGTGATGGCCGCACAGCTTCTCTGGAGCCTCCTGGGTGGGTATAGGATGCAGAGCAAGGGCCAGGGCCGGGCCCACAAGTATCAGTGCCCAGGTGAGCGCTCGGGCATCCATGGCTGTGGAAGGGCACCCAGCCTCTTCAGCCACCCATTTTATAGGCTCCCAGTCCACCCCAGCTGGGGCCTTGGAGAGGGACAGAGCATTCTGAAGGATGGCCCAAGGAGAAGGTCAAGGGCAGGGTCAGGGCAGGGTCTCTTTCCCTGAGTCAGGACCTTGGGTGTTATCTCCCCCAGTGGGAGCACTGGCTGAGGAGTCTTTTTCTCCTCTTAAACCATTTTAAAGAGCTGAAATAGATAAACTGAGGAATAATCCCATGGGGTTGCAGGGAGGAGGTAGCATCTGGCCAACTGAGACCAAAGATACTCAGAATCTCATTGTCCCTATTACTGTACAAATAAGGAAACTAGGACTCAGAGGGGGCCCAACACTTGCCCAAGATAGAGGAAGTCTGAACAGTGCCCAGGTCCCCTAATGGTCCCTGCTGCTGGGGACTGGTTGGCCAGCTCTGCCTGCCCCCACCTCAGGGTTTCCATGTACTGTTCAGGCCTGGAACAAAGCTGGATGATGAGTCAGTATCCACTTGTGCCAGCCTGGTGCTCTGGGAGCCCCATTTTTCCTGATTGTTTGTTTGCTTGCTTGCTTGTTTTGAACATTTTATTTATTTATTTTTGTGTGGAAGAACTGGGGTACAGGCCAGAGGTACGGGGGGCGGGGGTTGAGAGGATTCACTAGAGACAAAGTGGGGAGCACAACAGGCAGACTGACTGAAATACACTGCTGAGGGATGCAGCGGGCAAGACAGGAGAGGTCTGCTGCACCATGTGGGTCACCTCCATGGCCAGGCTCAAACTCTGCCATAGACCATAGTGGTGATAGCTCTGAGATTTAACCCCTAGGTCACTAGGGAAGCCCCCCATTTTTTCTTATTTTAACAAGGAGAGAAACTGAGGGTGAGAGAGGACAGTATGCTGGACCCAAGGCAATGAAGAGTCCAGAGCAGTCGTCATCTCTTCCCACAAGTCAGGCAACCTTTCTGGGCTGAAAGGTTAGGTCAGAGATTCAGATAGCTGTCTCTGTTGCGCTCTCGCTCTGTGTGTGTGCTCTGTGTACATGTGTGTCTCCCCATCTTTTCAGAAGTCCTGACAAGCACAGGAAACTGGCTGCCTCCTCCCTTCCCCCACAGGCCTCCCAACCTGACCTTGCCTTCTGCCCCCACCCCCCAGAGCATCTTGTTCTCTCCACCCACCAAGGGCCTGTAATTAGCTCCTCTAGGATGGAGCCAAGGTCAACAGCTGGGATTGGGGGGAGGGTTTCTGTCCTCCATGGCACCGGCCAGTGCCCCTCCCTACTAGCCCTTCTTCCCCAGCCTGTCCTGAGGCCCTCTTGGTGGCCCCAGAAGGGGTCTCTACCCCCCAATTCCATATCACTTTCCTTCCTGCTTCACTACCCCCAAGGCTCCACATCCTTGCATGTTCAGCCACAAGTCATTTTTGTCATTAAACTCTTTTATTCATTCAACAAACATTCCCAGAGTCCCCTCTGTGCCCACCCCAGCCCAGTTCCCAAGGAGCCGCCAAGCTGGAGGACACATAGACACCTCCCCAGCCCTAAGGTTGGCAGGGAGTAGCGGGAGCATACCAGGCGGTGTTGTAGGGAGGTTATAGCTGGAGTTTTGAGAGATGCATAGTTTTCTAGGGAAGCAGAAGTGGCAGAAAACCTTGCAAGCAGACGAGAATTGGTGGGGACTTAATCTGCACAAGACACCTTCTCACAAGCCTCTGGAAACTCTGGCATTGTTGCTGTCCATTGTCCAGGAGTCAGAGAGGGGAAGCAATTTGCCCACCATCACACAACAATTAAATGGCAGCAGTGTGGACTCCAACACCTGGACTCTTAACTCCCTATTCTGAGCCTCCTCACTCTCACTCTGCTGTCCCTCTTCCAAGAATACTTTTCCCTCCCTCAAGTGCACGAAGAACTCTTGTCACGCTCCTATGTCATTTCTTGTATGATCCTCTGGCGAGGACAGAAAGGGCCCCATGTACAGCTGGGGAAACCGAAGCCCCAGGAAACAGAACTAAAATCAGGGTAGACTGGGGCCCCAGCTTCTCACAAGATCCCAAACAGAAACAACCTCCTGTCACCAAAAGCAAATTTTCAACCAGGACAGCGACACTCGGGCTTGGGTGCCTCCAGGAAGAGGGACAGAGCTCAAGCCTGAAATCATACATTTTAAGCTATAAAAGGTCACCACTGGGAAGGAGACCAGAAGCCCAGGGCCAGGCTCTGAGAGGATGGGAGGACAGGAAAGGCTTAGATTTGGTCTCTCAATGCGCTCCTTGATGCACCTGTCTTGACTCTACAAGTTCCAGAGGCCACAAGCTGCTGTTGCTTCACAAGCCATGGGTTTCCCTCAAAATCAATGCCATTCACCCCACTCATGGGGGCGGGGGGGTCGTGAAGCACGAGGCCCAAAGAAGGGCAGCCCCCACCGAGGGTCACAGAGCCTATGAAGACTGGCCCCGGAAATCTGTGCAGGAGCTATGAAAATGACAGTGAGTGAAGCTCTCCCTCAAGACAGGCGGGGAAGGCTCAGGTCCTGCACCCCTGGATGCTACCCCTGGTTTCCAGTCCACAGTGCATCCAGCCGGGGACCCAGAGTGCTGAATGATGGCCGGTCCTGCGGGCTGGGGGCCCAGCACCACTTCATGAGCTCATGAACCTGAGAGGGTGACAGGAGACAACAAGGTTACATGTCTGAGCTGTGTGAAGGACATGGCTCCTGATCAGAGTTGCAAAACATAAGTTAGACTCCTTCCCTCCTATGCTCCAAAGTTCTCCATGGCTCTCCACGGATCTTAGAACAAAATCTCATCCTCTCCCCTGCCTCCCTCCATTCATCGCCTCCCTCCATCACCTCCTGTCTCATTCCATGCAGCCATATCTGCCCCCCATCTCTTTATTTTTTTTAAGATTTATTTATTTATGCATACAAGAGCTGGGGTACAGGCCAGAGGTGGGGGGGGGGAGGGTGAGAGGATTCGCCAGAGACAGAGCGGGGAACAGAACAGGCAGATTGACTGAAATACACTGCTGAGGGGAGCAGCGAGTGAGTCAGGAGAGGTCTGCTGCACCATGAGGGTAGCTCCCTGGCCAGCCAGGAATAGAACATGTGCTGCAGTGGCTGGAGACAGCTTCAGAGGTTGCGTCTTAACCCCTTGAGCCACCAGGGAGGCCCCCATCTCTTTATTTCAATGCACCAAGTTCATTCCCACCTCAGGATCTTTGCACTTATGGTGGCCTCCTCTGCATATGTCTCCTCCCAGCTTTCCCTGGGGGTGGGCCCCTCCTGCTCCTTCAGGCATCCATTCTGAGAAGTCCTCCCTGACACACACCCAGTCCTTTCCCCCTTCATCTCCTTCCAGGCACTGATCCCACCAGGATGTTCCTGCTAATTCCCACTGGTTACAGGGAGGACAGCGCAGTATCTGTTCTGTGGTCTGCTGGCTCCACAGGACCCAGCCCAGAGTACAGCATACAGCCAGTGCTCAATAATTGCTTGGGGCTTGAACAAATTAATTTAAGATATGTCAGACACTTACACAAAAGTTGTGAAAAACTGTAAAACTTACCACCATTAACTGAGCACCAGCTGCGTGCTCAGGCCTATGCTGAACATTGGATGGGTGTTAACGGGTCTGATCCTCCCCCACCCTGCAAAGCAGAGTCAGTCCCATTTGGAGATGGGTAAACTGAGATTGTGAAGTGTTTGTGACTTGCTCAACAGGAGAGAGCCGCAAAGAAAAGGCCAGAATCCTCACAGTCCAGCTTTTGCTCAAGATCCCCAGGCAAACCAACAAAGTGGGAAACAGAGGCAAGTGCTCACCTCAGCTGGGCAGGCAGGAGGTGCCGGCAGCCTCTGGCCCTCAGAGAGCAGCTCCAGGAGGCGGCAGAGGGCGGGGACGTCTCGCTCACATCCCATCATCCTCAGGAACTCCTGGGGCCAAGGGGGAACTGCATAAGGGAGGGGGTGGGGCCACAGGTGATGGGGGTGGGGGGTGGGGATGGCCCTCCCAGTGTCCAAAGGGCCAAGGGGTTGCCCAGATGGGGCGTCAGCCTACCTGGGGCCCAAGTTGCCTGGACAAGGTGTTCCTGAACAAAAGGGTGACGCGTGTGGGGCCAGAGTGGGCCAGGGCGTGCGAATTAGCCAAAAGGTGGAGGGAAGGAGCTGGGGACCTAGGGGTGCCGACTCACGGCTGAGGGGCTGCAGCTCTTGTCACTGTAGGTAAAGAGCTCGTACAGGACGACTCCGAAGCTCCAGACGTCCGACTGGCGCGAGAAGATGTTGTCGGAGAGGGACTCGGGGGCGTACCTGGCGGGGACAAGGAGGGCTTGGATGAGGCAGAGGGTGGGGAAAGGCGCGGTCCTGGGCTGGGAAGCCGGTGGAGTCTGCGGGGGCTGTGAGAAGGTCAGTCCCAGCCCGGGGCTCAGTTTCCCTAACTGTGAATAGGGGAGCAGATTCTCCAGTCCTTTGGCAGGTCTGGGAGGGGCCTGGGCGCGGTCAGAGCACAGTTTGGGGGGCGGGGTTGGTGCGCGGACAGAGAGGGGCGCGGCCCGCGCGGGGGGCGAGCTGGGGGCTAGAGGGGCGGGCGGGCTCTGAGCGCAGGGACCCGGCCTGGGTAGTCCGGAGGAGGCGAGAGGCCGGGACAGTAGCATCGGGGGAGGGGCCCGGGGTGAGGCGAGGAGGGAAAGGGTCTCACCAGAAGATGGGACTCTGGCCCGGCTCGCGGACCACGTAGTAGTCCTTGTCTACGGGCAGCAGCTTGGCGAGACCGAAGTCTGCGATCTTGACGTGAGTCTCGCTCTCCACCAAGATGTTGCGTGCGGCCAGGTCGCGGTGCACGCAGCGGCGGGAGCCCAGGTACTCCATGCCCTGAGGAGTGGTAGGCGGGGTGATCACGGGTACCGATCCGATCCCATGACAACCCAACAGGGACCCCCAAGCCTGACCTGGAATCCAATCTCGACCACAGCTCTACCCAGACTCCAAGCCTAACCCTGCACCAACTCATCCTGCACT